GAATTTATAGTTTTATTTTATGATATCCGTCAATTTTATTAGTATGCTAACAAAACAACGCATCTGGGAACCAGTTATTTATTACCATTAAAAGTATTTTGATAACAAAATGCATAAGCAGTGTTAAAATGTTAAAATTATCTTTTTGAGTTTACGTAAAATTAATTTTACTTACTTGCGGAGAGAAACAGTCGGCAAAAGATGTCTGTTACAACACCCATTTTAAACTTCTTGAATGTAGTTATTATGAACAGTTTGTAGGTTATAAAGTGTACTATGCACTGTTTCAAAAACGGAAAGCTATTGAGTGGATTGCGTTAGTATAAAAACAGCAGCTTTCGCTACGTGAACAATACGAAGCTTTTCATGTGGCGTCACTATAGCAGGAGTTATATCTGCTGAATATTATTTTTTCGTGCCATATGACATCAAAATCCGGCATTGTTCAACTTTATCCACATATGTTCTGAAGCTTACATGTGAAGAATTAAATATCGCAATTGCCAATCAATGACAATGTTTTACCAATTAGATAAATATGCATGTGGCGTACAGTTAAGCGTTAGATAAATATCAACCTTTCTTACGCTCCATTTATGGTATTTTTAACCCTAATCAGAATACTCTGTCTTAAACATCAGCTTTTGCCCTTCTAGAAATAGTATATCCTTATGTACAACTCACAATATGCAAATAGTTAAAGTAGCTGAAATTTTAAGATCGCTTGCTTACGGGTCTGCTTGGAGTTCTCACTGTGCTTAATGTGAATACTAGTCAATTTCTTTTAAGAATTTCCGCAAAGGTCTCTAGTCTAAGGCGATTTATCCTCTTCTCTTGTGCTAATAAATTTGTCTTAAGTATAAATATACGTTAAAGCTGCATTTAAGGTCACTGCGAATTATCGACAATAACTTACATTGACTATTACACAACATTATATTGGCTATTACACAACCCCTGAATAGCCGCTTAAATTCTTAGGCATTACTTTGGTTAAGCAGACTTAAAATAATTTATAATGCAACGTAATAGCTGATTCCTTGCGGAACACACCACTGTCCTAAAGAAAACGACAATTAACATCTGATTTCCCCATCGGCACCTGTAAATGATCTATATTAATGCGAATCATGTATATACGTAAATAATTTCAGTGAAATTATGTGCGAGATCGTAGTATTTTTGTAGTTGCATGGCGAAACCAAACAATACGAGACTTAAAAGAGAATTTCGAGAATATAAATGGCCGCGAAAACATAATGAGTTAAGACTTTTAGATTTACGGGCAGATAAAGGAAAAGTACCCTCTAAAGTGTTTGTCATAAATCTCAACGTTGAACAGTGGGGAAACGGGCGGTAAGTTTGGCTCAAAGCATATAGGGTAAAGGAAAAGCGTCTGTCAGTATTTCGCACGACAACGTCGAAGATATTTGGCGCGTCCCTGTGAAAGTATAAACAATGTTTATTAGAAATATTCACATACCAATATAAAAAAGGACAAAAGTCGTTTCTTTAGATTGGAGATTCTTAACCGGTAGTATGCGTACCACTGGTGGTAACGCAAGGCAAAAACAGGTGGGTACACAAGGAAAAAAATTACCCCACGATGTCAGGCCTCTCCAATGCTTTATTGCTTGCCTTGTGACGTATGGTCACCCCCTATTTTCCATTTTCGACCTCCTATTTATGCGCCAAACTTATCTACGTTATGTACTGTTAAGCAATAAATTTATTGAGCCGGAAACTTCGCGCTTCGGCGTGATATCGCGTCAATACTCGTCTAGAACGAATTAATACAAAGAAAAGTATCTTTAACTATAAATTTAAAAATTAAATACACCAACATCCCGTTTAATTTGTTTGTTGTTGTTGTTGAAGTATTTCGTTTCGTTGCATATTTGTCTCCAGTCAGTCGAATCATGAGCCATTCTCGGAATTTCAAGGTCTTTTATTTCCAACTGTGAAGCTTTTCGATGCAATAAATCAACGTTATGGAAATACATCTTGACTAAATACAAGCTTGTTTTTCTTTTTTATCCAAATAGAGATTTATTTTAGAATGTAAAATGTATTATAAAAAAATTTGCATTTTGTCCTTCTTAAAAACGTAGATTACCGAGCGTAGCTTCCTGGATCAGAACGCTTTCCCGCGGCAGTCAACCTCTAGGACAGGAGTCCCAACATTTTTGTCCCTAAGAGCACATTCTAAAATATCTGTTAGACGGCGGGAACCATTTACGTTTTCAAGATGAATTTATAGTTAAATAGACTTAGTTATACATGCAAATAAAAAAGGAGATCGGTCGCATTTCGCTTTGTGTTGGTATCTGTGTTGGACCCAAATTTTATTCTGTTAAAAATGGGAACCCTTGATCTAGGAGATAATAGGGAAGTAAATGCTATTTATTGATAGAATATTGTTTATTTAATTCCCATATCGAGTCATCCAACACGAAATTGAGAGTACAAAAAACGAAGCAGATCATTATTGTGTATGGTGGTGCCAACGGGCCGGCTGCATGGGTGTTTTAGTAGTTTTCCCCATGTGTAACGTGTATACGAGTCAGTTTCACTTAGAAAGTCCTCCAAGAAGGCATCCTTCCCCTTAGGCAGATAGCCCTCGAGGCTCTCATGAAAAATGGAAAATGCTCTCATGAAAGTTCTGATGTTTGCAAACTGCACGCCAACTAAACTAAGTCCTGTTTAGTGGCTAAATCAACTGAAACCTTCAGCAAATCGGGATAAACCACCTGATGCATCCCTCCCCTTAGGAAGATAGCCCTCGAGGCTTTGCCATAATTAAATAACCTAACTTAACCTAACCTAACCTTGTGTATGGTGAAAAATGTTGCCATGAAATTTCTGATGTTTGGCAAACCGCACGCCAACTAAACTAAGCCCTGTTTAGTGGCTCAACTGAAACCTTCAGAAAATCGGGATGAGCCATCTGATGCATTTGTGGCAAAACTCTACTACTATTTTGACGGAATTTTCGAAAATTTTCTGATCTATTGTATTCATTATTATGTAATGAGCACAGACGAAGGAAAATGTTCTGTATGCAAACCTTCCAATCTAGAGTTGCAAATTTATGAAAATCACTGCTGATTCCTGTTTCCTTAACATTCGTAATTGTCGTTATTCGGCGTGTTATTTTTACTTTAAAATGGCACTTATATTCTTACGTTTTCTCAAAAAATAATCGATAACTTTTATAATACGAGTATCTTTGAGGTATCCATTACTTTCCACCTGTTAATAGTACGAAGTTTCGTGGCAAGGTTAGTGCATTTTTGTTTGTATACGATTACATATTTAATTGCAGAAAAATGACTGCAATGTATGCCAAGAAATACAAATGCTTTCGTTAATTACAATATACTGAATTTATCATACGTAAAATTTAAGCATGATGTTGCCCGTTCTTATTAACAATTGGTAGTGTGCAGCACTAGCCCTTCCATGACTTTTCTATCACTGCTAAAAACTATGAAACATTTCTGTATTGTGTGGAGAAAAAAACTGCTGCGAAATTTTCATCTCAGAAAGTTTACGGGAACAATACATAAATTCGTTTCATTTATTATTCCTTACATCTTGGGATATGCATATCTATCATTGATGATAAATCTGGTGTAAAAGGATAATATAGCTTATTTGTAGATAATTTTTCCAATGTAATTTTCTAAGTTTAATGTCCACTGGTGAGAAAATGTAAATAGGCCATAGAAAACTTTTATTACTTTTATAACTCTTAACTTTTATATAAATATCAGCGGGTATTATTTCTTTATTTAAGCTCTTAGCATCATCTAATCCATGTGCAAAAGATGAACTAGTACGTATTCAATGAAAAATATTGTTTACTTTTTTTAGTCCAAAGGGATTTGAATCCCGAAGGACTATTAGTTTCGTTTTGGCATTTTGTGTCGGACTCATAAATGTCGGTTCACTTTTCAAACTGTTGCCACAAAATGTTAGAGTCCTGCATTATATTTGAAGAAATTAAATAATGAAAAATCTGCATAAATGTATGTATATTTCTCGTATTGTGATTAAACAACGGTACATAGAGTCATCGAATTTTGAATAACGTACCTCCAACGAATATGAGCATGTGGAAGACCAAATTTGAAATTTGAAATTTGTTTTAGGATCGATTTCCTATTTTTTAAAACTTTGACGAATTTTTGATTAACAAACTCAAGGATTTCAAAGCGAGCAATGGCAACGTTGTGCAGAAAAAACATTTTTATCTCCAGCGCGTGAGTCTCTGTATCGGAAATTCTAAAGATATGCTCGTTTTAAAACTATTTTGCGATATTGCTGTTGCACTGGATCTTATGGTTTAAGTGCGAGGAACATGATATTTAATAAAGAAAGGTAACACACAAAATGTTAAAAAACGCCCCTTTGGACGTAATTTAAAATCTGAAACATTTCACATTTTTTTTTTTTTTTTTTTTTTTGCTAGTAGTCATTAATGTTACAGACTTTTGATGTATTATGTTCTCCATTCGCCAGAGTGTATATTTTTCCTCATTTATTTACTTTTGTTTTATTTTATATTCAAAGTAAACATATTGGATTTTAAATTCACCTTTGTTTCCAACTTTTTATTTCACTTAAACATGTTTTTCTTTTTAATAATTCGTTCTTTACTTTGAAAGTTTTAATGTTTTTAGGACAATTTATGTTATTAGACAAATTTTTATCCGATTTAATGTCGAACAGTAATTAAGAAAGGAAATTAGTTCCAAAATGATGTAAATCTTTCATTCCAACAGCTGTTTTAAGATAAATATAAGGAATGCAGACCTTGAACCTATTTTCATTTCGTTTTATTGAAGAAAAATATCCAACAAATAAAGGCAATTTTTAGAGGTGGTATAAATTTTTAGTCACAATGTGTTTTGTTACTATATGGCTCTGCGTTAAATGATAATTACTGTCTGATTAGATTTGAGTTAAAAAAATGCCAGAATTTATGGAAAAGGAAATCCAGTATGTTATTTAATTAAAAGAAACCAGATACAATTGTAGATCTGTGTACAACTCTTGTCTTGTCTTATAATAATAACAGCAAAGAGTGAATACAAATATCTAAGAAATTTATTTCTGAAATGTTGGTTGAAATGAATTGATGATATTCCTACCAAACTCGGCATTTGGTTTCTCGATTCATTTGTGAATATGTATTACACTGAAAGTCTTCTGCAAACTCTGGTAGATTAGACATGGGTCCTATTGCTCTGAAACAGAATACATATAATAAATTTTAAATTAATTTAAACATAGTTTAAATTTAACAATATAACATTTGGGTCAACATTTTTTTTAATTTTGTTTTGAAATAATTAATTAAAACTCGTACATTAAACATTAGAAACAATGGAAGAAAACCTGAAACAAATTTATAGAACCTGGAATATTCCCTTACGAAAGTATCATTTCAAGAAATAATGCTACAGTTTTAACACCCTCCAGAAAAGGACATTAAAGCATTTTTTATTTCATTTCGTGTTCTTATCCTATACAGCAATATAATTACATGTAGAATAGTTAGTCGCTTGTTTAAATTTTTGGTAGATGGCTTGCCACCGAAAGTCTTTGCAGTACACGCTGCACACACACTGCACACACATACAGAAAGGGACCATTCTATATCTACCATTCTATTGGGCCGCTTGACAAAATTTAACTTGCGTTTTTTATGTCTCGAAAGTTCGACTTATGATACGAATTAGATTTATATTCAACACTGTTATAACAGGTAAATCGGACTTTTTTCGAAATGACATACCGATGTTTTTACATATTTAGACTGTACGATTCAAATTACGCCTAAATATAAAATTGTGTAAAATTTGGTCAGAAACTTACCGAGAAATTTAAAATTTATCTTCGCGTACTTTTTCCCCCACTTTGCGTCAAGAATACTTCACTTGGAGAAATTAATAATTTATGGTAACCTATTTCCCTTTCCCTTTTTTCATTGTGCACGAGCAAAAAAAAGGGGCCATCGTTCGTTCTTATTAATGGTTTGAATTAAGTGCGTAAAATACAAATGGCGTTATTTTCGCTTTAAACAAATATGCCAAACTTCAAAACGCGCCAATATGTAAATTCACTTGCATCATTGGAAATTTTAAATAAAATACTCTAATTTGTTGCAGGTATGCCTAAAAATACATCTACTTTAAGGTGATGGTAAAAACTTTATATATGTTATAATTAAAAAATATTTTCGAAAAATTTGCAATCTTTGTTCAAAAATGCAAGTTTTAAAAATAAATCAGAAAATACGGGTGAATTTTACTTGAATTGAACCTTAAATTTTGTTTGTGAGAAAAGAGATATTAATAAATATATGCTAAATTTAATTACCGTATTTATGCGAATCTAATGCGCATCAATGGTATGAGGAATTTGTTGAATCTTATTTAGTACAACAATGGATTTGTATATAAACTATCAGTCAATGTTATGATAATTTTATTTAAATTTAGATACCATATTTTATACAACAAGTAGCAGAACATAGAATTAACCTATTAGTGTGCTATTGTAATGTGAAACAATCATTGTTAATTACCACTATCGTATATACGGTACCTGTCGTAAAATATGAACATGAAATAAATAGTAACATTTCTATCTAGCTAACAGTTTCTACAATCAGTGATTAATAGTAAAGGTCTTTATTCACTAATGTTTTCATCACGGGAACCCTCGCAGCTCTCTTCGTCAGAAGCAGATTCATTTCTTCTTTCCTCATCATCATCATCGTCATCCTCGGCGTTCCAGAGCACGTCATCTTCACTGCCATTCAATGAATTTGAAATGCAGCATTTCTTGAAAGATTTCACAATCATTGGTGCTTCGATGCTTTTCCAGGCAGCAGAAACCCAGTGTGCAACAATGTGCGGTGCAGCACGCTTAATTTTTCCTGTCGGGGGTCAATACACGGTTTGGCTCACAAAACCATTTTTCGTACTCCGCCTGAACGTACCCCTTAAAAGGTTTATTTATACTAACGTCCAGGGGTTGTAACACAGACGTCATCCCTCCAGGAATGATAACAAGATCACTGCCTAGGCTGTGCATCTTCTTTTTTACGTCGTCGGTGAGATGACCACGAAATGCGTCCAGACAAAGCATTGATGGTGGATTAGAGAGCCCACCGGGACGGCGTTTCCATACATTTCGGAGCCAATCAATCGTCATCCACCCCTTCTCTTGGTTTCGAATCAGAACATCATCTGGGAACAGCTTTTCATTCTTAGGGGTTTTAGGGCATGTTTTCCGTTTGAAGATTAAGAAAGGGAGACGTTTGCACCCGTCTGCTGTTATTGCCAGCATTATTACGCGTTGTTTTTCACATCCCGAAGTTTTGATGATAACTTCCTTAGTCCCCTTCTCCGTAACAGTGTAGTTAGGAGGCATATCAAACCAAATTGGCCGTCTCGTCAGCGTTGCCAATTTGCCCCATTGAAAAATTCTTTTCCTTCCGAAGTGTGATGACATACCGCTGAAATGTTAGTAGTTTTCCCTCAAAATCTGCAGGAAGCTTTTGGCATATTGTTGTACGGCGTCTTAGAGATAAGCCCATCCGCTTCATAAACCGATCCACCCATCCACGGCTAGCCTTAAACTCTTGTTTCGGTATTCCAAGAACTTCAGCCTCCTCTTTTGCTTTATATCTTATGGTGTCACTAGTCACAAGTTGTCCATTTGTCCTCCTTTCACGTACAAATTCCAAAACGTTTTCTTCAATTTTAGGGTGTCTTCCTTTGCGAGGGCCAGCGAATTTCTTTCTACTAGCTTTAGTTGCAAACAGTGCCAATTTCTGTTGCTGCCACAAGCGAACATTGCTTTCAGCTACGTTGAACTCTCTCCCTGCCTTTCTATTGCCCGCGTACGATGATCGGGACAGAAGTGAATATTACGTGGAATATTTGATACGCAATTACAGTTTGATGCAATAATTGTGTAGACGCAAGTATTACAAGATGTTTATTTATACAAAACTCCAAAATACAAAATTAATTATCTGTAACGATATGATATATTTCATAGCATTTCTGGTACATGTAACGGAACATTACACTTTTTACACTCGTGTTCTATGTGGATTTTCTCGTACTTGATCTGCATACTGATTCGTTTCGGTTAAATATTGTTCCAAAATATGTCATCAAATATTAGATTAAATATACCAAATTCACCTCCACTTCCTCCTAATTAATATAAGGCTTCCTTTCTTATGCCAGGAGTCATCGTATAGTCCCAGATTTTCGGGCTATTTCTTATTTCTTTCCAAAGCCAGGACTCTGGTAGTTGATCGTCATCGGATGTATCATCAATAATTATTCGCCTATACTTTCTTCGAAAATTACAAAATTCGTCATGTTTAGGATTGCCCGAATTAGCGTGTTACACAAGTCGTGCAAATGTCCCGAACGCTGCGCGAGCTTGTATACAATTTCGGCCCAACATCTTCGAATCTAAATCGTAAGTTAAGGGGTTAATTATCTAATCAAGGGCTCGATATTATCAATTAACTCCAACTTTCGCTGTATGCTGAGATTAGCATGAAAAGTTCATATTGTTTTCCGATTGTCAGAACTTCGTGTCCCATAGAGGGGTGCTTCAAGTAGCATAAGCGCGATATAGTATGTCTAGGAGGACAGGATAGAAGATGGCGAAGGAGAGAAAACTGCTAGCTTAGTCAAGGTACACCAGCGGAAGTTGGAGTTAGTTGATAATATTCAGCCTTTGATTAGATAATTAACTTGTTGCAATCGTTTGGGAGATTGAGAACTTGCGAGCCAAAGATGTGCATCTGAGTGTTTGCCATCAAAGTATGAGCTCGAATTAACACTCGAAAGCCACGTGTTTGGTTTTAACCGTTTTGTGCACTCTTTGTGAGTTTTTTACTAAACTGATTGAGCAACTATTGGTCTCGTTCATTCGCTCTCCCAACACTGTTGTAATTTCAGATTGGAATTCTAATATTCCTCTTTTCTGCATCTCAGAGTGGAATGCGCTCCTATGTTCTATGGTAATTATTGCTCCTCTGGATGAGTATTATCCTCCCTCTTAATTTGTAAAAACAATTTAGAATAACCTTGTGACTGAATTCGTTTCGAAGAAGAAATTTATCAATTATTACTTAATTTGTGAATATATAATTGAGTGCAACTAAGATAAACGTGCGATAAATACGTAGGTCCTTACTTAATCTGAAACAGATTTTAATAAGGCAAAAACTATTTTTGCAGTATGGCGTATTGACAGGCTGTTCGCAAAGGAGTCGTTACTTAAATACAATATTGAAATTTATAATGATATTATCTTAACTTCCTTAAATAGGGAATAACCAATATTTTAAACGCATTTCCAACAGAAAAAATTTTAACGTCGCATTTTATGGCCCATGCGCCTTTTTATTATTAGCGTGCCCACTTGAATGTAAAAAAACAAACGAATTCATATTTCACTTACCTAAACTTACGTAGTGTATGCGAGTCAGAGAGAATGCTTAACTTTTGAAGTTCTGGGGTCATTTTATTGCACATTACCTGAAAAATTTGAATTTAACACTTCGACAAAAATTCATTTTCACCCTAGTAAATAGACAGTACAAAGATAAAAAATAAGTATAGAGAGCAAGTACCGTGGCCATTAAAACAATAGGAATTAAGGCTATCAGAAAGGTAATCACAAAAACCACCTCATGAGTCAAAAACCATACTTTTAATATTTTTCGAACACACGCTGAATGATTTTATTTCATACTGGAACTCATAATTATACAATGTGAGATTAAATTGATGCATTCTATTCTTCCCCCCGGAAGGTCGTATGATGTAAAATTCAAATATGAATATGATGTATTCCATTTGTAAAATTTATATAATTTTAAAAATTACTTTTTGTTTAATTCTATTGTTGATTTTCCCCGTTAAATCCTATGTGATATATCTGACCTCGAATCTAAAATTTCTGAAGAACACAAAACCTTGTCTTAAACTTAAAGGTTTATTCAACTGGAACTTCAAAAAATGATGAAAAATTTAACATCATAAACGAAAATTTAATATCTTAGGTAGAAACATTCAAAATGCTTTAAAGTGTCAGCTATTCCGGCCCGGTGAAGAACACTTTCTTTAAAAGGACAAAATCCATCTGGCCCTTTCGGCATACATCTCCATTTTAGTTTCGCTGGATTCAGACTTCAGCTCCTACGTGTTTTGGAACTTAAACGGCCGGACTGGAACTGGAACAGGACCGGAACAGGACTGGAACCGGAACAAGACGGAACCGGAACAAGACGGGAACCGTAACAGGACGGGAACCGGAACAAGACTGGAACCGGAACCTATCATCCCCTGGCTTTTTCCACGGGCAGGTCTACTCTGGCTCGAACTGAAAATGAACTGCGCCGCTACCAAGGAAAGCACCTCCTTTTATTGACGGCGGTTGCCGTTACTACAGACGATTATGCAAAATATTTAACATCATCCTTTTGTTTATATTTTTCACATGAACCTCTCCAGAATAAGGCGGTGTTTAACCCAAACAAAAGTATAAATTACGATAGATAAACCATCTATGACAGTGCATCTGACAGTGCACTCAGTTACGCCCTAAGGTATTTTCTCCCTCCTTTCTGCATGCCTTCGTGGTGTAAAGGTAGCACACTCGGCGCGTGTTTGAGAGGTCCAAGTTCAAGTCCCGGTGAGGGCATTGCTTATTTTTCACTTCTCTCCTGCTTCATAAAATGACCTAACGACTCTACAGTTTTTCTCCTGAAATACCCACCAGTAATCAATTTGATTCTTGTTAGAAATTTCTGATAGAAGTAGCGAATAATTCGCAGGAGGATTTTGAGCATAAAATTTAAGTTTCAGTAAAACAGTAAAATTAAAAAAATTAATAATGAAATTTCTCACACTTGCAGACCAAAATATACAAGATAATAAGTGAAGAAGCTTTCTAAAGAAGAATTTTTCCATAGAAGCTTTGTCGCATGATGAATAATGAGACTATAATGGTTGACTTTCATAAACACATTTGAGCCAATCCAGGCCGTCGAAAATAGTCTGCTTGGTTACTAAAATATACCTAATTTAACATGTTTTACACATCAGACTGAATATTTCTTAGATGGAAAAAAATAAAAATTTTTACTGCATTTTTTAACTGATTACTACTGCTGTTTTTAAATAAATACATTACTTAAATAAAATAGAAATTGTAGTTACTATTATAGAAATATTTAGGCTGATTTCGACTGTATTCGTGATGTTGGATTTTTACGCTTCGTCCTTTCATTAAAAATACCGAAACCTAAAATCTAAAACTACATTTTAAATAAATTTTTACTAGACGATACGTTTTTTGCAATGCTATCAAACAGTAAAGGTATATCCCCACCATATAAAGTATATAAGGTATTTTCTCCCTGCTTCCAGCATGCCTTCGCGCTGTAACAGTAGCACACTCGGCGCGTATTCAAGAGGTCCAGGTTCGAGTCCCGGCGACGGCATTACACATTTTTTCACATCTCCTGATTCAAAATAACCTTATGACTCCACAACCTTTAATCATTTATTTCAGCTTCGTTACTCAATATGTGGTACAAAAATGAATTGCAATTAACTGGAAATTCTATAACTGAAAATTTCTTTAACCCGAACACAAACTGAAGCCCCATATTTCTTAGGGAAAATTCAACGTTAGTGAAATCATATAAATTCAATCTTTTTGTGAAAAACTCATCTCCATCTTGCAGCAGACGAACGCTTTTTAAAGATAACATCTGCTGCAAATTAAATTTAAAATTATATCTAACTTGCATAGGTATTTCATACATTGAAGCAATTGGCCATTAAGGCTCATTTTGGGATATTTGCAATTTCTGAAGTTTAGATTTGAGCGACCGTTTATCACTTAATATATTTATGGACTTTTACGCATGCTCCGAAACTGTTTCAACCAACGTTTGACCCACTGATTCTCACAAAAGCTATTCTCTGTTATGAAATCTTTAGGTACTGACACGAAACATAGAACACTTACCTGTGCTGCACTTATCCAGAACAACTGACTAGTAGTATAGTTGAGTCCAGGCAGCATTCGTTCAGATCCTAGTTCAATTGTCGCTCTTTTATAGCTCTGTTTGATAAATATCAAGAAGAAACAACGTCAACAAAACTATCTTTAAAACAAAAAATTAAAGCCTGAAAGTTTTCAGATTTTATATCGGGTTTTAACGAAAGTTTGCCACTATCCCTGATAAAAATGCCCATAAAAGTTTTACGGGGAATTGGCCTACGGGTAGGCCAAATCCGAGTAAAAATCCACAGACATAAACCCATACAACTGTACGGGTACCCGTAAGCCAAAATTACCCGTAAAAACCCATAGAAAGAAAACTGCACAGCTGTATGGGTACCCGTAGGCCAAATACGCGTAAGAAACCTGTAAACAGAAACCCGTACGACTGTATGGATACGAGTAGGCCAAATCTCTGTATAACTGTAAACAAAAATCCCAGTAAAAACCCATAGCCAGAAATCAGAACTTTATGCATATCCATTGGCCAAATCTCCATTAAAAAATGGACATTCCGTAGGTCTATGCATCGTAAAAACCAGTAGACAAAAGCACGTACACCTATACACGGACCTATAGGTCAAATCCTGTAAACCACTACACAAAAATCCACAGACCAATAAAGGTACCTTTTGGAAAAATTGCTACACAAAACAGTACACAAAAACCCATAAAGAAAAACAATAGTATTATATAGTGGGATAATAACAATAGTATTAATAGTACCATAGTGGAGTCTCCATACATAGAATGTGTATCCATATACAGAATCCGTATAAAAATCAATACACAAAAATAGAACTGTAGATCAAATTTCCATAAAATCATAAACCAGCAAAAGTACAGAACTAATAGATGAAATGTACAGAACTAAATAGCGGATAAAGCATGTACAGTAATTTTAAATAAAGTTTTTAAAATATCTAGAAGCCTAAAGGCCCCTATCCTTCTCAATGCACGTCAATATCTATAAACATATTACAAAATATTTGTATAAATTCTCTTTACAAAATTTTAAACTTCCTTTATATAATTTTGAAAATAAAATGAATAGAAAGGTAATAATCAAAGTCATGATTCACAACCATCGAATGATATATGTACATATTATATATATGTAAAAAAATAAAGAATATGCAAAAGATTAAATTAGCAGCGTAAAATTAATTTTCCTTCTCTATTCTAAAAACAGTAATCTCTCTGCACTGCATCATTTCGAGATTAATTCATGTCATATGACTCTAACATAATTTGATGTTGTAAAAGGAACTAAAACAGCCAAAGGTAATTTTACAGCAGTATTAATTATAAAAAAAATGCATCGAGAACCAAAATTAACTCGGTCCGAATTAAGATTTCACCCTTAACATGATGCGTTTGCTTTCTACGCTTTGGCCTAGCTGGACTGCAGTCTGCCTGCTCCTTGTTTCTTACTACACATTTATCAAAAATGTAAATTTTTGGAATAGGCATAATGTGCCAACTTGTTTGTGGCTGGAACATATTTGCTGAAAGAAAAGTTGAATTAAAACTACATCGACTACCAAATTTCTTATTCATTGTGGATTGGCGTTTCAAAATCTCTAAGCCATCAAAATTCTTGCTGTTCATTACGGATTCAGCTGCTTGTATTCGACTACAGAATCTATTACATATATATATAATATCATTTCATTTGATGGTTGCGAATCATTACTTTGACTGTATATATATTATTGATTTCATTATAAATATATACATATAGTACTGTATCTCACTGCGTATATTTGTATTTCAGTTCCTTTAATTGGGAAATTCAACAATGACATTTAATCACATCAGCTTGTTTAACAATTGTGATACCTAATGAGAAATATATTGCCAAGGGATGGTACTTTCTAGCATCTGCTTAAGTTTTAAGTTACCTACAATGCACTAAACCAAATTTAAATAAAACTAGATAAAACTCTAATTTTCAGGGAAGAGAACACTATTAACAAGCAAGCAAAAAGAATAAGGGACTTGCAAATTAGAACTTAATATAAGTTCAAATTTAGCATACTTGCTATCCCTTTAAAAGCTCGCTTACCACCTGATAGCAATACACTGTACTGCTTATTATAACACCCATACACATAAAAAATTTTCCGTGGGAGAAAGGATGAATCCTAGAATATAATGTAGTGAAGAAATAATAATATACAAACACTGTGTCGACCCCTATTACAACTTATTTGAATGTTACCTGTACCTCTTCAGAAGATAAATGAGACATGAAAATAAAATATAATATACTTAATAATACACAAAATACAATAAATTATATTGTAACACAACGAACTTAAAAAAATTTACAACTCTCAAACAAATACCAATTCTCAACGCACAGTTCGGGAATTAAGGAAATATGTCACAGCGTATAATATTTTATTCCGTATCTCACTTTTAGTGCCTATAATCTTCCACAGATTGTATATAAATAAAATCTATAACATAATGGGTATTTATACTACATGTAGTTCTTGATGTAAAAAAGATTAACTTTCGTACTGTAAAAATTCCATCTATGTGAATAAGTATGAATATACTCATATACACATAATTATACGTATATATTTATTAAATAACTAATATAATGAAACTAAAAAAAACTAAAAAAAAATCCCAGAATTGTACAAAAATGACATTGCGCACTCCTTTGACTTTATCCATGTACACATCGACCTATTTTTCACTTAAAAAGTCAAAAGAAATTGACAAAAATCCATTGTTATTGTTACTCTTGTAAAGAGCGTCAAACAAACGCCAAATAAATAAGTGGGCGATTTTGCACTTTACCCGAAAAAATATATATAAATACCATTTACCTATCTATATTAATAATTTATTATTACAGAAGACTTTTCATATATCATCCCAAAGGAACATAAATTTAATTAAAGCGATGCATTATTGGAATAAATTTACAGTAATATTTATACAAACAAATAATTTTAGTGCAGAAAATTGTAACTACCATTTTCACAGTATAACTAATGAAAGAAAATAATGTTTAAACATTACTCTAACTATCAAAATCGTAACAACAACCTTGTATTTAGCGTAAGTATAATGAAACACTCAATCGATTTCGAGGGCAGCTAAAGGTCCCTCCTCATCAGGAGAAGAAATACCTAGAAAAAGAAAATAAAGAAGAAGGATCCAGAAACACGTGGTCCTTATCAGCACTGCACGTGGTTTATAACTGGATTTTTAATCAGAGTTGCACTGGCCGCCTACTTTTACTGAGCAGAGGCTATCTGATCAAGCATAAAGGACAAGAAAAATTAGTGAAGTTAAAATAGGGAGCGAGGGGCAAATGCACCTTCACGCTCTGAACTTCAAATAAAATGACCTTTAGCTGCCCTCGAAATCGATTGAGTGTTTCATTATACTTACGCTAATTACAAGGTTGTTGCTACGATTTTGATTGTCACATTAGCGTGTTTCTCTTCTAGTCTACTCTAACTATATTTGAAAGCAATGCTAAAACAGTGCCCTTTCAAGACTCAGGTGAGGAGACAGGAGACCACTGGGTGAGCAGCTGTGCCGTCATGAAGACTTTCAGCTTTATTGCTCACTCAGTGGGACCACGTTTATTTAAAATTTTATTACAATAATATTACAATAATATATTTTATATTACAATAATTCATAAATAGTTCACTGTTCATTATAGTGCGCAGTTCATAAGTCTGTTAAGTTTATTTAATCTGTTGAAGTTAATAATTAGTCTGAAGTAAGTTCTGATAAAGCTCTGAGAATTTTATAGTTAGTGTGAAGTAAGTTTCATATTTGTTGATTGAAGTTGGGCTGTCTTGAAGTGATGCTAATTATGCCGAAAAAATGCTGATGTGGAATTGTGATGCCTTAATTTATGCTGCCTTTAGATTACATGTGGTTTCACTTAATGTTATTTTTTTCAAATAAATAATTCACTTTTTATACCCCCCCCAAAAAAAGACTAGTACATTTAATATTACATAAATCTATTTCTATTTCAAAAGCAATTTATGAAAAACACATTCGAAATTTTCTTCACCAAACTAATAATAATGAAAATTAAATTAGGCATAAAAATGATTATATGTGTTTTAACAAAATAGCACAAAATATTTAATGTAAAAATGTGGTTCTAGTCTCCTACTTGTAAAGAAAAATAGACCAAAAAGAAAAAACAATGTAAGCTACTATGATCATCTAAATTTTCACATAATTTTAGTAATGGAAAAAAGATTCCTTAAGCTTGTATGTCTTGAATTCAATAAGTAAAAAACCCTATTCAATAAGTAATAAACACATTAAATATTTCAATGTTTACTTCATTAATAAAACTTACCTTTCTTGTTCGCAAAATATAATTAGTGCATTTTTTAACACAGAAAAAAGCATTCTTTCTGTTCAGCCGCATCACATTAGTCGAAAAATTGAAAATTGAATCATTCAAGATCATTTTTACGTAAGGTATGCTCAGATTTATTAGTACATAATATTCAAATAATAAAGCATCTACATGAACAAGCTTTAAAATGTATTTCTAAACTGTAATCAAAAAAAATAAATTTTCCAAAATACAATTTCAGTAGAATGCAAAAACTATATTTCTACATCTGATCTAAACACACTGAACCAAATTATCAAGTCTGAAATTATCACTTTCCAGTCTTTAATCACATTGCTTTTCAGGATAAAAGTAAATGTAGTATGATTTTAAATCAATAATAATAAGTAAAAACCCCTCTAAACGACCACCTGCGTTTCCAACTCTGATGATGTTAAAGAGATCATATTTTTATTCTGTTAATTTATTGTTTACAAGAAGTTTATTAACATCAGATACTAAAATAGCATAACCCCATAAAAACCTACAGAAGATTTATTACTATATTGATACCAGTAACAAAACCAGTAAAAATGAATATAAACCAATACAAGCCAGTAAAAGTTTCTGACATTGATGTTGCTTGTATGGGTGTCAATTGATACCAGTAAGAAAAACCTACAGAGATCAATAGAAACCAGTAGAAGTCAATAGAAACCATCAAAAATTCTATAAGTAGCAGTAGAACGTTTTACTGGTTTCTATGGGTCATTTTGAAACTAGTAAGAAAAACCACCAGAGACCTACAGAAACCAGTAAAAGTCAATAAAAACCCATAAAACCTTATGGGTACCCATAAAAAATTTTACTTGTTTCTATGGGGCATTTTTAGCAGGGATCGCAAATAGTTCGCGTTGGCGTGTTAATCATATCTTGTCAAATGTTGTATCATATGACACTGCAAAAGTTTGCTACCGAAAGTTCAAAAATAAGGACTATGACATTTAAGAAGCAGAGAACTCTGGCCGGCCTACTGATGTCGATGAGGCCTGCCTGCGAGAATCTTGTGTGATTGAGTAAGCAACCACCCAAGTGCTTGCTAAGTAGTTAGACTTATTGCCATGTTTATTAGTTGCTAGCGGAAATATTATGCTTTGTATATCTGGTGAAATAGCCGTGGCATTATTCACAAAGTGTATCTGGAAAAAGGTAAAACCTCGACAGTAAGGTGTGGTGCGAGATGCTAGTTCTTGTTGACGCTGCTATCAAAGTAAAACGTCGAACTGAGTTCCGGAGCAAAAAGGTAATGTTCAATCAAGGTAAGGCAAGTCCACATGCGTCTGCATTCACCGGCTGGATTCTGTTGGGACTTGAATGGGATTTTTTGCCACACCAAAGATATAGTGCCGACATCGCTCCTCCGTACTTTTGCCTTTCTTCACACCTGCAACTACATCTTGCTGATGCTATCTTCCATTCTGTACAAGACGTCCGAATTGAAGTTTGGTCTGTTTTTGGATTCGTGGCCACCAAATTTCAGGGAAGAAAACTTTGAAAACCACCAAAACGTCGTAGAAAATCGTAGATTTGAGTGGTTATTACTACCCGCATTAAAGGTATTGATTTCATATTTTTTCCCTAATTTTACTAAGAAAATATCTTTGCCGGAAATTTTTCATTACAACAGATATTATGCTCGAATGGAAGTTTTCATTTTTTAATTTACAGACTCATACACGTTACGAGAGTATTTGGACTAAAAATATTTTAAAACAGCATATCTTTAGAATTTCCGATAAACAGTTTACTGCTGGAGATAAAAATGTTTTATTTCCTACAGTGTTGCCGATGTCGCTTTAAAATTGTTGAGTTTTTATTGAAAAATTCGTTAAAGTTTTACAAAGTATGAAATAGACCCAATAAAGCAAATTCTAAGCTCGGGCTTCCAGGTGCCCATGTTCGGTCGAAGGACTTCGTTATTAAAAATTTTATGGTTCTAGATACCGTTCATTTTTTATAATGCTAGAAACAGGCATGCATTCATGGCAGATTCTTCAATTATTTGATTTCTTTAAATATAATGTAGGGCGTGACAACAATTTGAAAAATGATACAGAGCTTTTAGTGATCCAACTCAAAATGCCATTTTGAGACTAATAATAGCCCTTCTGGGCTAGCCAATGCTGAGAATCGTTCGAGCACACTATCAAAATGCGAACTTTACGTAAAAAGAATTTCTATTTTGAACGTCATAAAATCAGAAAAATAATAATTTTGTAGTCTATTAACTGCTAATAGGAACACTAAACCGAAAGTAATTTTAGAATTTAGACACAAGAATTTTCATTACAGTATATTTAAAGTCACTAGGTCAGCTGGCACTCACTGCTGAGTTTTAACTTATTTCCTCCCAACCTTTCTAAGATATCAGATAAATTGTATTGATATAACAATTTTTGGATTCAATTGGTTAGACAAACAGTGTATAATAGTAAATGTTTTATAAATACTTTTCATGAATGGAAAAAAGTAAAAGCCTTTTTATTAATAAAAAGGCATTTACGTTTGGTAATTGGTACTTTTACTTTGGTAATTTTACTTTTTACTAATTAGTGATTAATGTAATAGTACAATGTAAGCAAATGTAAGCACAATGGAAGTTCATGGTAACATCAAGCTTCTTCTTTCTGACTTTTTCTCCTACAAATTTTGAAATTACGTCATCAAAATTGATGCCTTTAGCTACATTATTTTCTATTGACAAAATAATCAGTCTAGAGAAACTTGCTTGGCTCGCAGCGGACGTAAAATAATTAATTAGTCCTAGCTTCGGAAAAACTCCTCTTACATAATGATAGCCAAAAAACACAAAGTTATGAAAAGTCTTAACGCAAAAGTGATGTTGGGAACAAGAAAGAATTCATTGACATTCTAAAAATCTTAAAGGAAATCTAGCTGAGAGACTATTCCTTTGCTCTCCTCTGGCACTGAATTACTTTGAGGATATCATCTGAATTTAATCGTAATTTGCAAACAAACCTTTTACAGACTTCAAAAGTTCACGTTTTGTGGTTTTGATCAGATTGCTGGGCTCTTAGACAGCAAATCGATCTGATGTTTTTTCTATGGTATTTCAACGTTTATCGATTTCTTGTTGAAAACTGTCAGTGTACAGGCAGAGAGAAGTTTTCACAGGGTATAAGCAATGCTTAAGTCCCTAACGTTTTCCTTGCTTGAACCCTTTAATGTACTCCAGCTGTTGAAGAGGGTTTGTCGTACCCATTTCGTCGGCACATTCCTAAATCTAGACCATCCCGTTCAATAACCTTCAAAATTTCTTTCATTATGCCAACGGCCTTCTTCCTGGTTTGCTGAATATAACTTAGAAATGACTCTTTTACATCTACGCTTTTATTTTTCTGTGTGAACAAAAGAAGATGATGAACGTACCGGAAAAGATAGTACTAAAATACGTTGCATTTTCGATATCACTCAGATCTTTTCTTTAATAATTCTGCTCAGAACTGAGATAAACTGAATTTGTGTGGTAGGGAAGAAATGGCTTGAAAATCTCTTACCCGGTTATTGCTGAGTTGACTGTTCTAACTACATCAAGTATCCGCTTAATACAGCATCATATTTTGATAACAATTTAATCATCTATAGAAAACTTCCGTTGCTTTTTGCCAGCATATGCTCTTTAAGATCGCAGTTCTTGCATCTATATGGGTAGACATACTGATGCCTGCCTTCATAAACCAGACTGTGGTTTCGTTTCAGGTAACACGTTATGTGCCCCTTCAGGATTCATATTCACAGTTAAAAGATGGAGCCTTTCGAACAGCTGCAATCAATGTTTTACCGCTGCGTTTTGGCGATGTTTTATGAACAAAGAATCTTGCTGTTTCAGTAATGGTTCGTATATACTACATTCACATTTCGACTTCTATAACGAACGTTCTGAAGCATTTGGACTTTTTTGGTACTCTATTTCTTGTTCGTTGATTCAAATTCGCTGATTATCTTCTTTTTTACCAGTGAGATAAAGAGGGACTCCTTTTTAAAATCGCTTGTGAAAGACAGTCATGAAGATTAGAATTCTTATTTCCCTATCTGATATTTATGGCGGTCCTCAACTGTGCGTAAGTGATATGGCGATCTTTAGCCAAGAGATGCCTGCAGCAGAAATATTTTTGTTAAAATAAAATTAACAGCCTTATAAGGTGTTTCATTTTGGAATTTATTCCCAGCTTGCGCACCATTGTGGCATACAAAAGTACATTATATCTAAATACTATGATAAATCTTTCTGGCTGCGGTTATAACCCTTTTCATAAGCATGTAAAGTTAATCCAAAAATCATTCCTAAATAGTGGCTTGCTTTTCTTGGACTACTAGGGTCCTTGATTATTCCGAATGAAATCGGGTTAAATGCTTTTCAACCTAGAACATCTCTATGTGTTGTTTTAAGGTATGCGGATATAATGATATTAAGTGTTTAACGCTCATAAATTATGAAGTACTTAAAAAATTATTGAATACCCTACACGCACTTTATCTTCATCGAACAACACTAAATTTACAATAATGTAAGCTATGCAACCATGTTCCGACATCTGGTTTTTAATGCTAAGGTAACTATAAATTAAAGAAATTTGAGTATGCTTATACTAAAATGTTTCAAGTTTTAGAATACGTAATCGAATAAATTATCATTTTGCATTAAAATAATTTTTAACGTCATTTTTAATATCAACGGATTGTGAAAGGAATTTTGATGGGGTGCAGCTTGTTTTCTGAATAGTATAGATTTCTCTCTGAGCACTGGAATGTTCAACACTTTATAATAACTAGACACTGAGAAATTAATCGCAACAAATACAAATTTCGTTTATGTTACTTTCCGTTCACTTTCTTCCGTTCACTTTCTTCTTGAATACCGTTCACTTTCTTCTTGAATCTCGGTACTTAAATGTATCTTTTAAACGTATATATCGACGTTTCCTACAATATACGTGTTTAAATTTTTTTCTCTAGAATTTTAATAACAAACTTATGATTTCTTTAAAATCAGAATCTTTCTTACCTGGTAAGCTAATCTGAGACCTCCGTTGTCAGCTATATTTTCTCCCTGTGTCGTAATGCCGTTTAGCTGCGAAAGATAAGCGGCCGTTTATTTCAACAGATATTACATACGTGCATTTGAATACTGTAAAACAGGCGCAGAAATGCTTATGATAAACATTATGTAAATTGCTGAGCAAACGTGCGTGTTTCATTCCTGCCACATTAACAGCTAACTTAATATGTTTAAAAGCATTGTTGCTTCTGGAAGTTATTCTCATTCCTAAACTTCGTGACAATTTGCATATCGTTCTACCACTTCAAACGTAATCACGAGCTTGTTCCTTCCAGAGGATCATGCCGAATTTGAGAAAAGCGTTGAGATTTAAGCAGTTATCTGGAACCAATAGTTGGTCATTAGCCTGCATTCAACCATTAAAGCAACCAGGAGGACGGGTCTAAGGGTCGCCCACGCTTCCTTTCGTATCAGCACCTTTATAGAGGACATCGCCTCTCTGTATATTTAGTCTTATGTCATATCCGGCCTGAGTTGGTATCTACCTGAAGAACGGCAAACGCGTCTGGTCATAAGCGTGGCAGATCATAAAGATGGACATGTTAGGGTATGCGTGATGACGAGGAAAGTCTTGTACAAATCGGTATGCGAAAGATTTTATGGCTAGCTTGATGAAAAGTTATGAATTGGGGATTCTCATCGGATTTTCTTTGAAATGTGAATTTTAATTTCGTCAAGCAGACTGTTATCTTTATATTTTTGTTTGTAATGCGCTAAAAGAGATTGATTAAAATTTTTTAATGTTAAATGCCATTAAGTCTTAATCTACAAGCACGTATCCCTTCCATCTCGATAACTCAGGAAGGCAAGTTAGTGGCACTTTTTTAATTAAATTTCAAATAGCTAGCTAAATTGGTCACTTTAATCCATACATCGTAAAGCAGAACTAAAGGAAGTGCCATAACTTAACCCTTTTCTTTCCAAATTTTATTAAATTTGGAAAGAAAAAGGTTAAAGAAAATCGCATTTTTTAAAAATCCATTAAGGATCTGAAAATCATTTACAGAAACTACGAAATACGAGATATTCGCTCACGATTAATTCACGAATTTCATCTCAAATGTGTTTTCATTTGTAAGGCAAACTCGGAGATACTTAAAACTAAAGAATAGGGAACGTAATCAATAAGTTGAACAGAAAGGAAGTGGGAAGTCCATCACAACTTTCCATTCTCCAGATAAAAAAGCTTTAAAGAATAAAAAGCCTTTCATTTCCTTTCGGAGGAAAGGTTCGCGCTTCCCCCTTTTGGTTAAGCACTCAAATTATCACTTGTTTATTTGTGCTACACGTATTAGGAGTAACATTAAGGCTTAGTAAGATTCAGTGCAACAGCAGTCAAAAAAATATTATTTTTTATTTTAACGTATTCAAGTATCTTACTGTAATCAAACTCTCAAATCTATAACCAATGTATACATGGAACTTAAAATGTATCCTATGTATTAATGTATCTAACTAACGTATCATATTTAATGTAGTATTGCGAGCATTTGTTGTATTTAAGAATTATTATTATTTGTAGTAACAGTATTTGATGTAGGTAGGAATTATGGCAACGAGCGCCCAAGAGCATCACCAGCGCATTCTAACAGCTAATGTTTATATATTCATGCAGCTAACGCTTTCATGTAAAATCATCCAGGTCGCAGTTTGTTCATGCGACTTCATAGAGAAGCTAAAGCATTCCCGAGGTAGGCTTCCTGGGCCTTGGGAGATGCTGGTTTAAGGTATCTGCCTACGTTAAAAAAACGATTTCGGCGAAAAAATTCGATTTTTTTTATTGCCCAATTTGAAAGGTCAATTTTGTAGGATTCCGAAAATGGTTTCATTTTTACGTTTGTGATAATTAGAAGAGAAGGTATAGCCAATTAACTGCACTGGAATTGAAAGCAGAAAGACGGAAGTGCCATTTAAAAGGCTCAACTTAAAAATAAACAATGTTGTTATCCGTGCTTTTTTTTAACTGTTTGTGTGTAAAATTGTGCTAAAACATTTCATTTCAATTCTGGGTACTTTTTTTTGTTTCTGGCAATAATTATTTGCCTTAATTCTTTGAACTGGGACTGGCAACATTGCGGTTTTTTTAACTGGGTTTGGCAACATTGCGATTAGGTATAAAGACTATGTTGCTGGGTGCATATATAGCCGTTTTTAATTTTTAATTCAGGGTATCTTGGATTACTTCCTGTGTTTGAATATTTAGGTATATCAATTGAACACAGAAATGATTAAAATTACTTTTGGAATTGATAACGAAAGAATAAAGAACTCGAAATTCATTCGTCGCTCATTTCGAAAATAGCCAGAAAAAATTAAAATCAAAGAGGAAATCAAAATTACTTAAGTATAAAGATATGGAGGGTGTGGATGTACAAATGTGGAGAATTTTAAGTGTGTAAATACAACAGAACAGTTTTTCTGTTAATGTGAAATCTTTAAATGCGTTTTCTGAAAAACTAATTTTTCTAGTGTTTTTACATACAAGAAATGTAATTACTCAAAATGTTCTAAAGATATCTCTATTAAATTTCACTAAATGTTTTCTATATTATTTATTAGGTTTTAAGCTACAATCTAAGTAATATTTATTAATTTAATTGTTTTATAAGTATTTCTATATAAAACGATAAGAAATATTTTACAAAAAACTGTGTTTTTTCATGTAATTACACATATTTTAGTAAATTTTAGAAATATCATATACATTTTAGTTCATAACACAGATAAGTGTTGTAGTAATATACAGTATAAAAAAAATTGAAATATATGCTGTGAGAAAAAATATACGGCATTTAACGTAAGTCTTAAATTCTCCTAAAAATTTGCATAAAATTGCATATATTTCAAAAATTTATAAAAATATTCCTAAAAATTTACTTATTTTCATGATTTGATATCATATTTTGACTAAATAAATATATATTTCATCAGAATTCTATGTTTTTAAAAAAAAGTGCTCCGAACGTAGGCAGATACCTTAAGATACGATAGTGGAGGGCGTGAGACCTATACCTGCTTAGCTTTGTTAGACACCAGGTGTCCCCGTCCTCCGTCACCTGTCACCTGTCTTAACATAGTATAAAGTATAGTTTTCGTCGTAACGTAAACTAACGAGACCTAGGGCAAGGAATTATTCCCGAGTCTTAAGGACGACAAATATTAAGGGGCCGTATACATTCGAACACTTTTTTAAAAATTTTTAAGTTTGTGCATTTTATTTTGCCTCTAAAGTAATTAATGATGAAAAAATGAAGAAGTTGAGTTATTATTTAATGACCATTAATTTTGTATTTTTTGGAGTAAAGTAAGAAAACAAGTAACAAAAAACAGCAATATTTACAGTAAATTAGAAACACTGTGTTAAAAAAAGTATAATCTATTTTCCCATTTTGTAAAATGCAAACTCATAATAAGGATATTCTCAAGGAGGTAGACTATTATTTTAAAGCTAGGAAGTTATTTAAAAATTTTTAAGCTAGATTGTGTAATATAACAAAGAAAAAGCATATTTTCTCATTAAATTCATGTTTAACACTTAATAACTTTATAAAAAATGCATTTATCAACTATTAAATAGTCTGCCTCCTTACTGAAAGTGTTCTAAACATGTATACCAAATTGCATAGGATTTAAGTGGTCATTTTTAAAGATATTGTGTTTCCTGTTAGCATTAAAACACAAAAAATGAAAAACGAGAATTCAAACATTCGATTACCTACTTTTAATCAATTTGTAAACTTAAAATTCCACTGATTTATAACTAATGCCCTCTTGTTTTTCAGAATTTACATTTTTTTGCCTTCTCGCAACTTTTAAAAATTTTCTCTGGTTTTTAAAGCCAAATCAGGAAATGTTGTTTTGCATTGTCGATATGGTTAACATCAAACATTTCATACTCGTTTGCAGTGTAGTAACCAATATCTATACCTAATTTGCCATACCTACATCTAATGTATACCAATATCTATCTATACCTATAAAAATTAATGAATATTACTCAGTAATAAATAAAAAAACGCTTATCAGCAATGTAAACACAGAATCAAAACACGAGTGAAAATGCGTTACTGAATTCATAACACACAGCTTGAAAATATTTTAGAACTTTGTTTTGTTGCTATCATAAAAATACTTTTTGGTCTTTAAAATGCAATTAATTGAATAAAGTTTTAAGCCTCGAAAATAAAAGTAAACAACTCTGACACACCCACTCCGGCCTTTTTAATATTTATGTATTGTGCACTTTTGGTATGCTTTTCAAGAACATGGTGTCAAATAAAGTATCATAACTTCGGTTTAAATGAACGTAGGAACAAAATTCAAACAGTTTTGTAAACATAAGTAATACTTTCATCGAGCCTAAGAACAAAAAAAGGAGTTGTTTTTTGACCAAAATCTCGGTTTCTAAGATATACAGCGCCCTTAATATAATTTCACAGTTCGCCTCATTTAGGCGCACACAAAATCCAACACTCCTGTCTTAACTCAAACAGGTAACGATGAACTTAAAATTAAAAAGTTCAGCCAAGCGGTTCACAGGATAATTTAACACGCGGGAAGGCTCTAACTTGTAAAATTTGTCGTAAACAAGGTTAATGGCTAAAAGCGGTCAACGCACAGAAATTTAACCAGGAGTGCTACGTCAGAAAACCAGTGGTTTGTATTTTACTGAATTCACCGCAAAGTAGATCACCTGAAATCTACAGCATAGATATGTTTTTTTCTTTAGTGATGTGTGAAATTTCAGTTTACCGAGTGATTCCAAATGTTTTTAAATTTAGAAAGATCTCGGAATGTAAATTATCCCCTACAAGAACAAGGAATGTGATATCGAGGGCTTGGCAAATGCGATGGAATGAGAAACAGTAAGGATCAATGGCCACTTTTTCCTATACTTTGTAAGACATATTCTGCTTTCTTGCCGCATACTTTCGTTATGTAATTGAAAACACGTCCAGCTACAATCCGAGGTCCGGATTCGAACCCCTCGAAGGCATTGCTGAGTTTTCCTGTTTTCTGCTCCGATAAATATTTAATAACTATACAACTCGGACCAACATAGAGGCATCGAAACGAAGTTTTACAACCAAATAAAAGGTTTTAAAGATATGGATGTACATTCGAATTCTTTTCTACGAGTGATACCTAAATTTTATATTTTCCCACAAAAAGTTGTTTATAAAATTTTAGTCGAATTTAGTCGAGTGATGTAATTTAATTTTTAGTCGAGTAAATAGTCGGATTTCATTAGAGAGATATTTCTCGAATTCATTAGAGAAATATATCTCTAATGAAATTCGAGGAAATAAGTTTAAAATTCGAGGAAATAAGTTTAAATGAAATGCAAGAAAAATTGCGTATAATTTAACATTCCGTACAAGGAAGTCATGTAAAGTACACATGAGATTTTTTATTGTTCGTGAAGAACAACAAAAACTTCTTTTTTTGTGGAAAACTTTTATTGGTCATGACGAATTATTTAAATTTCGAATGCAAATGAACTTTAATACACTTTCGTTAAATATTATTACATATGCTTTTCTTTCAATAAAATAATAAAGATAAATATTTTCGGATGGTTTCTTTCAAATATTTTTGTTGGTATTTTAGATCCGGAACTTGTCTTTTTTCATACGAATCGTTTCATACGTACTCTTCAGAATTGTATCTATCGTATATAAATAGCATTGATACTGTGCATGCATCTTAGATTTATAGGAACAGTACCAAATATATATTACCTGTAGTCCATTTTCAGCAGTGTAGTTACCATACTGCTCTATGATACACTGGGCTTTCGTCCTGAAAATCTCATCTGATTCTCTATCCCACCAGTTGACATTATTACCAACTTTATTAAACTGCCGACCTGCAATGTTATCCGAAGTATTAAAAGTGATGAATGAAAAGAAATGAACATTTTGATTCTTGCGTATTTTTAAGCATGAAATTCTAAAACCAAATGAGAAAATTGTTTTCGGAACAGAAGCATACAAATGTAACTGAAGTGGTCATAAGCTTCCTGTCAATCTGTAAGCAATTTTCTCCTTTCCTCACCGCGTATGTTTCTGGTGTGACTGAAAGCACCTTCAGGTGGTAGTTGGAAGTTCGAGAGTTTGAACACCAATGAGAGCATAGCTGACTTTTACTATTTCTAACTTCAATATTGTTGATCTGCAAATGAAACTTTTAAACAGCTTAAAAACTGATTGCATTCAACCTATTTGGGAAATGCACGCGCATTCATATAGGTAATATGTCCAGAAATTTTGCTGTGCGAAATCTTACGATGGTTATGATGATTGGCGGAAGATGACGATTGGTTGAGTAACGTGTTGTGGACCGATGAAGCTCATTTCACGCTCCGAGGGTCTGTCAACGCCCACAACTGCAGAATTTGGGCTACCGAAAATCCTAGAACTGTCGTAGAAACTCCATTGCACGACGAGAAAGTCACGGTATGGGTTGGATTTACCACATCTACTGTTATCGGGCTTTTTTTCTTCGAGGAAATGCGTGATTCTGGTTTTGTAACTGCTACCGTGACGGGTGAGAGGTACGCCGATAAGTTACAGAATTGCATCGTCCTCAGCCTGGCTGATAAACACCTGCTGGAACGTACGATTTTTATGCAGGATGGCGCTCCACCCCATATTGCTAGACGCATGAAAGATCTCTTGCGCGCGTCGTTTGGTGATGATCGTGTGCTCAGCCGCCACTTTCGTCATGCTTGGCCTCCAATGTCTCCAGACCTCAGTCCGTGCGATTATTGGCTTTGGGGTTACCTGAAGTCTCAAGTGTATCGTGATCGACCGACATCTCTAGGGATGCTGAAAAACAACATCCGACGCCAATGTCTCACCATAACTCCGGACATGCTTTACAGTGCTGTTCATAACATTATTCCTCGACTACAGCTATTGCTGAGGAATGATGGTGAACATATTGAGCATTTCCTGTAAAGAACATCATCTTTGCTTTGTCTTAATTTGTTATGCTAATTATTGCTTTTCTGATCAGATTATTGCTTTTCTATTATTGCTTTTCTAATAAAACCCCATGTCATTCTAAGTATGTGTGTCAATTTTTACCTGTCTATCTACATTATTCTGTGATTTATCAAGTTTTCAAATTTATAATGACTTTTTGATCACCCGGTATATATATGACATATGCTTCTACACATACAGTATATTGGAGGACATTTTATTGTAAATAATTACCTTCATCATCGAATCCGTGCATCATTTCGTGACCAGCCAAAGAACCAAGGGCTCCAAAATTCAAATAACTGAAATAAATGCAAAAATCTAAATTGATATTTTCTGCTGCTGTTGTTCTTAAATTCTGTTATAAATGAACTAATAGCAATGTAAAAAAGTGCATTTTAGACCAAATTAAATTTAAAGAAGTATGCGAAATAGACAAGTAACTTACTATGGTCGATTCTTGTCGAATAGGGGAGAGAGTAAAAGTCCTGGATTAAAAACTGTAAAATAAATGTTGATTATGAAGAATGCACTAGATCATAAAAATCAGTTATTTTTTTAATTTAATTAATCATTTTGAAACAATGGTGTATGAGATAAGAAGCTCAAACTGCATATCTCATAATATCATTATTCCTTTTTTTCCCCAATATTAACTTTTAATCTTATATCATACGAGTATAAAGTTCCTTGATTTTTAGTAGCATTAAATATACGAAACTTCTAAGAATTTAAGTGAATTATCCTTATATTTTGTTAAGTATCAGACAGACTGGGAAAAGATGTAAAGAATCATTTTATTTAACACAAATAAAAGTTAACAGAATGTACCACTGGTGCTTACAAACATACCCAGCATTTATGACTTAAATCAAGAGTAATGAAATTGACTTAACTAAGTAAATGTAAGTTAGGCAAACCAGAACAAGTCAGGAAAGTCAAATTAGCAACGTAACCCTCCGCAGAGGGAACATGCTCTGATTCTACCCTCTAAAACATTCCTTTAAATACTTTCTCCTTTTTCATCTTATTTAAATACACATGAGTAACAAATTTACGTTCTAGCAGGCAAATAGGAACCGAGAAGGACAGAAAAGCGAATTAAAATAAAATAATTTGATTAATTATCTAAACGAAACCTTGAACAAGTGAAATCATATTTTAGAGCAAATCTCAAATCATGCCTGCCTTTGGTACGCCAAAGTAATACACTGCGCGAAATTCATTTATTTCAGACACAAGTTATATATTCTTAGCACGTTTTTACAGTACCGAAATTCATAAATGGATTATGAATTAAACTGTGTGTCCCACAAATTGTTTCCTGTAAGTAGGGAACTCAATATGATAAATATTTTAACTTCATCATCATCAATCAACTGCAATATTATGGCATAAAACCATCACATAGTTCCAGGCGTTTTCGGCATACTAGAGCAAATATGATTTAGGGATAACAGTTCAGTTTGAGAATCATTGCACAGTATTTCAAAGCAGATAGCTGTGTTTAAGAAGAAATTCTTTCTGAATTGGAGAGTCTTGATATTCTATTTATTTAATTTAACAGAATGTGCGTTTTTTAAGAATAGACATTTTTTCTACAAAATGTTTTCAACTATTATTGTCGCAAAGCATAAGAATTAGCTACCTCAACGTTTAATAAAACTTTAAACTTAAAATTTCTAATTTTTTTTTTTTTTTTAAGGATAAACATTCATTTTGTTTGCTTTTTTTGCTTTATTGATTTTGAAGGGATACTAATTTTCGGATTTATTGAATTTGATATTTCGCCTGCTACTGATATTATAAATGTTGGTTTCAAATAAATTATATTTAAAAATGAGGTTTATATATAATAATCAGCTTTTATTTAAATGGATAGGATAATTTAATGCACTTAAAAAAGAAAAATAATTTATCATATACTTTAATGAGACTAACAGATTAAATAGTTCAATTTAGAGAATTCATCTATAAATTTATATTATGAATAATAAAAGCGTGGAGGCGCTGTGTAAATTAAAAAAAAAAGAAAATAGTTTATTTATCTGACCGTGCAATTATATTAATAGTAAATTAATAAAGATAAAAGCTTATATACTTGACAAAGGAATTAAATGTACAGATTTCAGTTTTTAAGCGCTCCTCATTTTTATCATTGGTAATATAAAATTATAGATGTATTCTATAAATAAGATTATTTAATTTATTATTTCCACTCAGGTAACAAAGAAAGTTCATGCCGCTTCCGTTACGCATAAAAAATGGTCCATAAGAATCTTAAACACACATTTTATTCTCCGAAATAATCATCATTTTTTTTCATTTGGCCAACATGTTCCCAATGAGACATTTACTTGTTAATGATCTTTTTTAAAGAAAAATCCTTTTAAGTCCAAAAATTGTGATATAGGCGTTGTGACATCGTCGCATTTTCGAAACTGTACTTCGTACAGCTGACCATCCATGGCTAAAAACATTATTAGTTGCATTGCACTAAGGCAATAGTCTAATGGAACAATACCCGGAGAATAGGATGGCTAAGGCAAAATTTCGTAACCCGATGTTTTGATAACCTCTTTATCGCTTTTCCCTATGAGGTCTGGCATTATCGTGGTGATCTCCTCTTCGGTTGACCAATGCTAACTGTTTCTGGTGACCAATGCTAACTGTTTCTGGTGACCAATGCTAACTTGTTTCCGGTGTAATGCAACTAAAACTATTTGCATTTGTGACTAATAGACATCGGCTGTTAGGGTGTTTTCGCTTTCTAAGATATCCATAGTGGACAATACCGCATGTGGTCAAAACACATCATTATCTTCTTTTGGTGAATGTCCGGTTTAGCGGCCAATGAGATTGAACCAGAATTCGACTAATGATGTTTCATCTTCCTGTTATCATACATGATCCATTTTGTCACATATCAAGATCTGTCCAATAACGGAGCTTTATTATGGCACAACTGCAACAACAAGTAGATGTTCAATCCTTCGAACTGGGACAGGACTGGGACGAACGTTTCCTCGGACAGGACAGGAGAAACATATTTATTTAGTTTCCATGGTTATGAAGATGTCATCGAATGGTTTCGTCAGCTACTTCAAACCTGTGTGCAAGCTCCTGGCTGGTTTAACGAAGGCTCTGCTTCATTTTTTCCTCCAGCTGTACTTTGTCGAGGGTGGATAGACAACCAACATAAGGCTTATCTTCAAGGATCGCGTTTCCGGAAGCAAATCGCTTGAATCGCTTTTGAGCAGTCCGTTAACTCACTGATGTCTCTCCAAACGCGGAGCATATTCCTCTAGCCTTCTCTGCATCTTTGTTTCCTAATTTTTACTCGTAAAGGAAAGTAGCTCTCAAAATCTCCTTTTCGAATGACATATTTTTCCGAAAATTTCGTTTTTTAGAAAGTCGATAGCGAAACGTGCGATGCACTATCAACTCTCTACTGATTAAGGTTTGATAGAAATGTAAACATATGACGTCATCAGAATCAATTTGACCCCACTAACGCGCCAAAGTAACTGTCTCAAAAACCGTACGAACTTTATTGGATACCTGATATTCGAATTTTTTTCACCTTTTAGTGCATTAATTATCATATTAATTTTAAATAAAAGCTTATTATATAAAACATTTTTAAACAGTATTTTATTTTCCTTTTTTAGTGTCTGATACACGCTATCTAAATTTTTGGACATTATTCTTAGTTATTAGTTTTAATCATATTTAAACAAGCAGTAAATTATAAAGAAATTGCGAAATAAAAAATAACTGAACGTCAATCAGAGAATGGCGCAACAATATTCCATTTTAGAAATTGGATGTAAGAACAATATTCAAACGAGCATTTTATCTGAAGCTATAATGAAAAATGAATATTACTAATTTGTCATTAAGTGCGCCAAATTGCAAACTCAAAGCTATTTTACTGAAATAAACGCCTTTTACTCAAATCTATAAAACATTAAATAAATGTAGAAACCTACTGTATTAATATTTTTTTCTAATCATTCTAATTCTAAAAGGGTGCGAAAAGTTTGTTTTACTATAATCTGTGAAAATTCCGCTATATTTTTAGATGTCGAAATTTTAAAATCATATACGTAAATTAATGTACAAAATCAAATGTTTTTCCAAAATTCGTCAAGCATTTAGAAATTAAACTACAATTTTTACATAAATTTGTAGGGTTTATATTTATTTTAACTAACATTTATTTTAAGTTTAAACTATCTTTCCTGTCAAGCCTTACTTTCCCCTGGAACTGCCAATGCTAGAATATGTAAATTTGAGTAGAACGCGCAAGGATTCAAATTATCAGCGGAAGTATTATGATTTAAATAGAAGGAAACGAGTTCGGTGTGTGATATTCTTACTTCAGCGAGCGCGGAGGTAGTTAGCGAGAATTGAAGAACCCCGCGTTTCGGCCTATGTGCTTGGCGGGAAGTAGTGTTAATCGTTCCAAGTGAGCTTCAAGTCTGCTGAATTAGCAGCGGTATTGTAAAACGCGGTGAGTTAGTTATTTTAGAGAGCCTCGTAGTTAGAAGTCTTGTCTTTATTTTCTTTCAGGTTATTATTTTTATTTGACGCCGAGTTGGCGCCGTTTGTGAGCGTCAAGAGCACGCAATTGTAATTTATTACGTTGAATAAAAAGGGACTTAAACCCTTCACAAGACTCTGTGTTTTTATCCAGTTTTCACAGTCACCTCTTGGTTGCGTGCAAGTTGGAGGCGCGCAACGTTTACATTGGCGCCCGAACACTTATCGAACTGAAATGTGGCCGAAAATTGGATGGAAGCCGCTGGACAACACCAAGAAATGACAAGCCAGTTAGAAGGATTTGGATACCTGGTCCAGACTTTGAGAGCGTCAATCAAGCCAAACGTCCATTTCGACGGAAAAAATTCGGTGGCGGTATTTCTAGAAGGTCTAGAAAACCACTTTCAGCTCTACCCTGTGCCTGAAAGACAAAAAGTTGCCATCGCCACATCAGCACTAAGAGGACAGGCCGCGCTATGGTGGAAAAATATAGGCAAATTTTTATTAGGGGAATTTGGAAGCCAGACATATACATTTGAAAATTTCAAAAAATCGTTAGTAAAGGCCTTCCCCATAGTGAAAGATCGCGCAACGGCTGGAAGCCGAACTATATAGTTTCTATCAACGGGATATAGCAGAATTGACGGACTTTATTCTACGAAAAAATCAAGCTAACGGATATGCTGTATGGAAAGAAACCCGATGCGGAGATTATTGAAATAATATTACCAAGATTGTTACCCGCTGTTCAAGACTACTTTGAAATTAGAAACCCAAGCACATTGCAGGAACTCTTCGAATTGGCGGGTGAAGTTTCAAAATCGCAGAATAGCGGAAAAAGCGAGAGGGGAAACATATTCTCAAAGTACCCGAAGGAAATCTTCAAATGAGGAAACCAGAAATGGAAATCGCTCTATGGGGGAAAGAGCTATCAAGCTAACTCATCGAAACTCGA